AGTTGTAGAGAACAAATTCTTCTACATTTTATGTCATTGGGTCTTTACTGTACAACTTAATGTGAGAAAGCTAGAGGGCGCCAAAATTGCAAAGAAACCTACGAAATTTATAAACATAATTTTTTTCTACGTTGCACTCTTTCGGAGGTACAGTCTATTCTATTTATTAATTGTAACGTATAGGTAATCCATATAACACAGGACCACAATATTTTTTGAAATAAAATATTGACTGGACCATGTTTTTTATATGTTTTTTGGGTCGCTGAATTCGAATTCGAACTCAGTTTTCCGCCATCACGTCAAGTTTTTTCAAAATGGCAAATCCAATATGGCTGTCGAATTTTTTAAAAATTTAACAGATTTACTTGAAACTTGTTACTCGGGGGTTTTTGGGGTTGCTAAATACGACTTTCATCTTAGTTTTCAAAAACTCAAAATCTGATAAATTTTTTAAAAATTCGTTAGCCCTACTGGATTCGTCATTTTGAATGTTTTTAAACTAAGTTAAAATTCGTATTTAGCGACCCCAAAAACCCTCAAGTATAAAGTTCAAGTAAATCTGATAAATTCTTTAAGAATTCGTCAGCCATATTGGATCCGCCATTTTGAATTTTGAAAAACTGAGGTGAAATACGTATTCAGCGACCCCAAAATCCCCCGAGTAACAAGTTTCAAGAAAATCTAATAAATTTTTAAAAAATTCAACTGCCATATTGGATCCGCCATTTTGAAGGAACTTGACGTGATGGGGGAAAACTGAGTTCGGATTCGAATTCAGGGACCTAAAAGACGTATAAAATAGTCCAGTCAATATTTCCTTTAAATAAATTTTGTGGTCCTGTGTTATATGGATTACTTACCCTACTGAAAAAAACGACTGTAAATACAGGCGTAAATATGACTGTGAATACGACCCTAAATACGAGCCTTAGTAGGGTGGTGTAATTGAAAAAGTAAATACAGCCGTATTTATGCCCGTATTTAGGGTCGTATTTACGGTCGCATAAGAATACTATTTTTTTCATATACATTAAATATAATATTGCTCTAAAATAATATATTTTTTCAGATAAGTATTAAAATATAATTTATTCTTAATTAATTTGAAATTTTGAAGTGTTAAAGTAAAAGAAATGGAAAATGAAAAAAAAATTTAAGGATATAGTTAGAAATAAGGATAGTATTATTTAACATTAGTAGATGATGTATTATTAGTATTATATTTATATTATAATTATTATTTAAATATATATATAAAAAATATAACACAAACAAATACATATGACTTTGTTTTAGTCACAGCAACAAAAATATACGTAATCCAATTTTAGTGACGCGACGGGTCATAAGTGCACTTTATTTGTAATCATTAAGTTATTACTTTTCCATTTGTCAACAATTTCATTTGTCCCCATGTATTCTAATGTTTTTAATGTGTCGGACAAAAATTTGATGTCAAAAAAATTGACAGATGCCTGTTGTTAAAAAATCTGCTAAAGTTTGAAAAATGAAAAGTTTAACATATGATGGATATCACGTCAAAAGTCCACCCAAAAAAAATGTTGTCTAATTATTCCCAAATTTTTTTTTGTGATATGCCCTATAGGTTAGTAATTTATCGGATACTTTTTTTTGAATTTTATAAAAAATTGTCCGAGGGGGAGGGGTAGAAGTTCTGAACTTTTGCGTGACACGCTCCACTTTGATTATTTCTTATAATTAGAGGAAAAATTTTTTAAAAAAACTAGGATATGGGTTTTTTAGATTTTTTCATGGGCTTTCGAATGGCAAAGTCTATTTTAAAATTTTTTTATTTTGATACAAATTTTAAAAAAATAAAAATAAATTTTCACTTTTCGCATCTTTGGGTCCATTTTTTCCTTTTATTTTTAAATGAAAGCTGAGCTTTTTTCTGATGAAATACTTGTTTTCCAAAAAACCGTTTTTTTTGTTTTCGAGAAATGAATTTTTGAATATAGCGCATCACGTCGTCGCGCCGCAATTTAATTTATAAAACGTTACATTGAACTATTTTCCGCATTTTACAGGGTTGAGACTGACATTAGAATAATAATATAATGCCTGCATTATAGTTTTTTTTATTTTTTTCAAATTAAAAAAAAATTTAATTTTTTTAAATTTTTAACAAAATTAAAAAAAAAATTTTAGACTTTTATTTCTAATTTAAAGCCTACAATTTATTTATTTTCATTTCTTCCAATTTTTTTATTTTTTGATGTTGAAAAATTTTCTCCGATTTTTAAATATTTCAAAATACTGATTTCGTTACATTTTTAAAACAGGTAATTTATTTTTTTTTGCCTTTTTTACTTTAGCTGTTCCCGACTTTGTCTCTGTACTTTTTGTTTTCGTGCACTTATTTTTCTAATCTTTTGACTCGACAAGATGTTCCTACAAATGACGAAAAATTGTTCCTTAAAAAACTTCGTAGGGTTTAAATTCTGTGGAGTTTCCAGCATCAAAAGATTCAAAAAGTAAGGGCACTAAAACAAAAAATGCAGAGACAAAGTTGAGAACAGCGAAAGTAAAAAAAAAGCGAACAAAAAAATAAAAAACGGGCATTAAATTAAAAATAAAATTGCAAAAAAATTTTGTTAAAAATTAAAAAAAATTAAATATTTTTTTTAATTTAAAAAATTTAAAAAAATTAAATATTTTTTTTAATTTAAAAAATTAAAAAAAACTATAATGCAGGCATTATTTTGTTCTAATATCAGTCTTAACCCTGTGAAATGCAGAAAATAGTTCAATGAAACGTTTTATAAATTAAATTGCGGCGCGACGACGTGATGCGCTATATTCAAAAATTCATTTCTCGAAAACAAAAAAAACGTTTTTTTGGAAAACAAGTATTTTATCAGAAAAAAGCTCAGCTTTCATTTAAAAATAAAAGGAAAAAGAAAAAATTGACCCAAAGATGCGAAAAGTTAAAATTTATTTTTATTTTTTAAAAATTTATGTCAAAATAGAAAAATTTTTGAAAATAGACTTTGCCATTCAAAAGCCCATGAAAAATCTAAAAAACCCATATTCTAATTTTTTAAAAATTTTTTTCCTCTAATTATAAGAAATAATCAAAGTGGAGCGTGTCACGCAAAAGTTCAGAACTTCTACCCCCTCCCCCTCGGACAATTTTTAATAAAATTCAAAAATATTTATCCGACAAATTACTAACCTGTAGGGCATATCATACAAAAAATTTGGAAATAATTGGACAACATTTTTATTTTGGGTGGACTTTTGACGTGATATCCACAATATGTTTTCTCTTCATAACCATATTTTTTACAAAAATTGGATTACGTTTATTTTCGTTGCTGTGAATAAAATAAAGTTATATATATATTTGATTGTGTTATATTTTTTATATTTAAATAATAATTAAAATATAATTATGATACTAATAATAATACATCATCTTCATCTACTAATGTTAAATAATACTATCCTTATTCCTAACTATATCCTTAAATTGTTTTTTTCATTTTCCATTTCTTTTACTTTAACACTTCAAAATTTCAAATTAATTAGGAAAAAATTATATTTTAATACTTATCTGAAAAAATATATTATTTTAGTGCAATATTATATTTAATATATATGGAAAAAATTGTATTCATATGTGACCGTAAATACGACCCTAAATACGGGCATAAATACAGCTGTATTTACTGTTTCAGTTACACCACCCTATTGAGGCTCTAAGGTCACATTTACGGTCGTTCTTTTTCAGTAGGGTATACGCAACAATTAATAAATAGACTGTACCTCCGAAAGAGTGCAACGTAGAAAAAAATTATGTATATAAATTTTGTAGGTTTTTTAAGCTCAACAACTTTTCTATTTACAGCAAAACGCAAAAATGGTTTTTTTGATACGAAAAAGGGGAAAAACTGAATCTTTGCAATTTTGGCGCCCTCTAACTTTTGCACATTAAGTTGTACAGTAGGGACCTACTGAGATAAAATGTAGAGAAATTTGTTCTCTACAACTTCTTTTTTAAAAATTTTGCAGTACGACTTACGGTTTTTGTACAAAATTAAATCCACAGAAGTATTAAATTTCTCCCCCTCTAAACTTTTTGGTTTTAAGCTAGCCACATGTGCCACTAACGATATATGAAATAATCTCGAGTAAGGTATTTTTTCTAAAAAAATGACAGATTGACTGTACTATGTTTTTGTAGCGTCTATATAAACGCTATAAATCATATCAGTATTTGTTACTTTGGAGTACTTTTTCCATTTGCAGTTTTTCAAGTAATTATTAAAAATAATTCAAAATTGTCTTTCGCAGAATGGGTCTAAGATTGGGTATTTTCCGCCTGGTTTTGGAGTCAAAGGAGGGTCTAATTTTAACTTATTGTGACTGTCCACGAGAAAACACGGCTTAGGTCCAAAAAATCAATTTTGAATTTTTATGGTAATCGACAGATTTTATGTTGCTTATTCAAATGCAAAAGTCAAAAGTTAAAAATATCAATTACTTTCGACAATATATAGTTTTAAAGATGGGTATGTCAAGCGTAGTTAACTTCAATCGTCGACTGTCCACGACAAAACACGGCTTAGGTTCAAAAAATCAATTTGAGTTTTTTATGGTAATCGACAGATTTTATGTTGCTTTTTCAAATGCAAAAGCCAAAAGTTAAAAATATCAATTACTTTCGACAATATATAGTTTTAAAGATGGGTATGTCAAGCGTAGCTAACTTTAATCGTAGTACTTCAATCGCTCGCCCTGTGAAATTCACGTTTGGGAGCTAAGCCGTGTTTTCTCGTGGACAGTCACAATATTGTATTGGAATTGGGCCATACTTTACGACTGATAAACCTAAAGAAGCCCTACATTTTCAGAGGTTAAGTAGGGTTTAAATTTTGACTCGGGTAGATTTGAATAAAAGATTTCTTATAGTGATCCATATCATGTGAGACTTATACTTGTGGCGGTTATAATAACTTATAATTTTTTAATAGGTTCACATCTATATGTTTCTGCTGAAGGTGAATTTGATTTATACGAGGGGAATAAGTTTCAAAGAAGTTTTGGTCCTGGAGTTGCTTTTGGAGAATTAGCACTTTTGTATAATACAAAAAGACTACGATCTATTAGTGGTATAATTACTATTTCTATTACATACTTCGTTACATAAGTGTGATACAATACTATCTGTCTCTCTCAGTAAAGGTTAATACCGTTCTATCTTCAAGTAATGTTTGTACTGTTCTAAATTCAAATTACAGTTTGTACCATACCATCTTTTTTACAGTTTTGGATAAGATTACTATAAAAAAAGTTCTACTATTAAAAATATTAATAGTTGGGTGATTCTCCACGAAACCGACAATTTCATGTCCCTGGTGTTTTTTAAGAAACAGATTGCACATATGGTAATTAATCCAACGTGAAAAAGTAACTCTGGTGATTACAAACAAAAACCTATAGCTACTTTAATTTATAAGATTAAATATTTTTTTAATGCAAATGTAAGAGCCAAATCGTCATGGTGAAGCCTGTCCCCAGGGTCAGTTACAAAACAAAAATAAATATTTTTAGCAAAATTCTCAAATAAAAATAATGATTGATAACATTTTTTTAATATCTAAGTGTGTAAAATTAAAAAGTAAAATTGGTTGTAAAAAAATTATTTTTTATATTTTTTTCTGATGTTATTTCTTGTTCCCAGTTTCGTGCGTCATGGTGAAGCCTTTTTGAAAAATTGAAATGTTTCAGAAAAATAAAATCAGAATTTCGGTATTCTTTAGTACAAGCAACAATTCAGTTCCCTCAAGTGTTTCACTACAATAGAAAAAAATGTTATACTTTTTTTTCATTTTTTTTACGTTTAAAGCGTCAACTTTGTGCAGGGAATCACAAAATCGTCATGGTGAAGCCTTCACATATTTCATAATAAATCAAACAAAAATTTTTTTTTAGTAAATAATGTATAGTCGTATTATTTCAGTAAATATAAAAGACAGGAATATGAAACCGATTAAAAATTTCTAATAATTTATTTAAAAAAACAGTATTTATTTTGCGTCATGGTGAAACCACAGCGTCATGGTGAAGCTTTTTTTGTCTTTCATTGAACTTGTGATTTAAACAAGTGTACAATTACAACAATTTTTGTAATTGTTTACAAATAAAATTATACAAATAAAAGTTACTTTGACTGTCATAATTTTAGTAAGTTTTGACATTAATTACTTTATAAATTTTCATAAATTAACGTACAAATTTCTGAAAGTTACTAAGAATTGATTTTCATTTAAATTATGTTAATAAATTACGATAAATCATTTAAAATAATTTATAAAATTACAACATGTATTTCCATAAATTTTCATACATTACCACATAAATTTCCATAAATTACCCTATAAATTTCCATAAATTTCCAAAATTAGTTTTTAAAATTTTCTTTTATTTATTAAAAAAAATTTATTTACCTCAAAAAATTGATAAATTACCGCATAAATTACTATAAATTTCCTGCATTAGTTTTTCTAATCTTGAATTATATTTTGTAATAATATTATGAATTACCTCACAATTTTTATAAATTACCATAAATTACTGCATATATTTCCTGAATTAGATTTTTAAATCCTGAATTAAACAAAAAACGTTCATATAAGTTCAACTATCAATTTTGTTAGTACAACAAAATTATGGCAACTAATTATGGTACATGGATGCGTGAACAGTTACTTTGTTTAAAAAATACAAAAATTACAAACAATTTGTCCGGCCCAGAACAGATATTTTATTCTTGACTATCATACTTAAAATTTACATTATGATTTTTATTTTTATTGAAAAAAAAATTCTAAAATAACAATAATCAAATTATCGGTTTCATGAAGAATCATCCAGTTGTATTATACTTGAAATACAGTACCGGCCAAAATTGTCAGTCCACCAATTTTTGAAGGAATAAAAAAAATTTTTTAACATAAAATTTATAAAAACTCAAATTTTTTTTGGTTTATATTTTGAAAGATAATAATATTTTGCAAAGAATAAGACCTCACAGAAGTCATTGGGCCAAAATTAGTAGAAGATATTCTTAAAAATCGTCATTTTCAATGTTTTACAAAAATTTAAATAACTTCTAAAATAATGAACGCTTTTTAATAATCTTAGGCTTATTTTAAAGGTCATTTTCTACGAAATAAGAATTACTTATAGACATTAACCTGTAATTTTTTATTTGGAATAAGCATTACGTCAAAATTGGACAAAAAAATTGGAAAAATTTGAAATAAATTTTTTGTACTAAAAACTATTCTAGAACATATATAAATCATGATATGGTGTAGATTTTCGAAGAAAATTTAATAAAAAAATATGTTTGAATTTCAAAAATTATTTTTCTTTTAATAATATTATTTCAAATTTTTTGAATTTTTTTGTCCAACTTTGACGTCATGCTTATTCCAAGTAAAAAATTACAGGTTAATACCTATAAGTAATTCTTATTCCGTAGAAAATGACCTTTAAAATAAGCCTAAGATTATTAAAAAGCGTTCATTATTTTAGAAGTTATTCAAATTTTTGTAAAACATTGAAAATGACGATTTTTAAGAATATCTTCTACAAATGTTGGCCAAATGACTTCTGTAAGGTCTTATTCTTTTCAAAATTTTATCTTCTTTCAAAATATAAACCAAAAAAAAATTTAGTTTTCATGAATTTTATGTTAAAATTTTTTTTCATTCCTTTAAAAATGGGTGGACTGACAATTTCGGACGGTACTGTATGATTTTCACTTGATTATATCAGATTTTTTTATTTTAATATTCTTAAATTAAACATAAATTAATGAAATAAAACTAAAAAATACATTTATAAATCAACAAACTTAACAACTTAAATATGAATAGTTCAAATTTAAATATAACAAAATATTTTATAATACACTGGAGCTTCACTTATTTTCAGTCTCACTTATTTGTAGTCGCACTTATTTTCACCATTTCCAGTCTCACTTATTTTCAGTTAAAAGGTTCTCCGTGCGTTCTCATTGGTTGATGTTAAAGAATCCACCAATTAAATCAACTCGAATGTTACGTTTCAGAGTGAAAATAAGTGCGACTTTGCCTTTCAGTTTGTTTGGACTTAGTGAAAATAAGTGAAACTCCAGTGTATTATCATAGAAAAAGTTGTAATATAAACAGTTGCTATAAAAAAAGTTACTATCACCATAGTAACGGTTGCTATGGTAACCATTACATAGTTAAAAATATCCGTACCACTGAAAAAAGAGTCTTCGTTTGAAACTTTTAGTGGTAATTTCAAAGACGTTAATTGGCGTCTTATTAGTTTTCTAAAATGCGTACATTTAGAAGTTATGTTTTTAATTTAAGACGCTCAAATAAGACACTTATTTACAAAAGACATTTGTAAACGTCCAAATGTCTTCTGTTAAGATATTTTTAGAAGACGCTGTAGACACTTGGCAATGATAAACGTTTTCTAGGTATGAGAGTTTAACAAAAGAGAATTATGTAAGTGTTTCATTTTTTGAGTTCGCTATCTTTTATCAAAAATATTAGAAGGGAACTTCTATTAAAGAAAGTAAATTATCAATGATATTTATATTTATTTTGCATACATGCCATGAAAAATAAATAAAGCTTTAATTATATTTCAACATATTACTCTTCCTCACGTGGCATATCCCGTGTGGATAATATTAGGATATCCCGTGCGAGTCTCTCATTGGATGGAAAATTAGATATCCTAGATATATCTCTGAGATGTCACATATATCCCTGGGATATCCCAAGGGACATCTTTACACCAGTTATTGAGATATTTTTGTCATTGAGAAAGGAATGTCAAATGAGTAAGAAGTCTATATTATCTAAGGAAATGAACAGAAGGTGCAAAGTGAATCTTATTGATATGCAGAGGGAAAAGGACAGTGAGTTTACGATTTAAGATGCTTCGACCATTGAAATACAAAACAGCTGATTATTGGAGGAAGACTACGCTTTAATTAATACTGAAGAAGAACTTCGGCAACTTTTAAGCACGCACAACACTGAGGATCAGGGTGGGGACAACATAATTGAAGACAATATCAATGTTTACGAAAATGATTTAAGTCATAATAAATGTCATATTTGTGGAATTGAAGTTGACGTTGCGGACCTTTGCATGGGACGCATGATTATTCCCCAAATGTAATTTTTCCGAAATGTCATTTTACCGAACTGCACTTTTGCGAATAGTCATTTTTGCGAAAAGCCATTTTTACGAATAGTCATTTTTGCGAAAAGCCATTTTTGCGAATAGTAATTTTAGCGAAAAGTCATTTTTACGAATATTCATTTTTGCGAATTGTTATTTATGCGAATCGCCATTTTTACGAATTGTCACTTTTGCGAATCGACATTTTTACGAATTGTCACTTTTGCGAATTGACATTTTTACGAAATGTCATTTTTGCGAATAGCCATTTTTGCGAAAAGTAATTTTTACGAATTGTCGTTTTTGCAAATTGTCATTTTTGCGAAAAGCTATTTTTGCGAAATTTCATTTTTGAGAAATGTCATTTATGCGAATTGTCACTTTTGCGAATCGCCATTTTTACGAATTGTCAATTTTCCGAAAAGTCATTTTTGCGAATTGTCATTTTTCCGAAAAATACAATAGTGAATCTATATATACCTACAAGTTTACTATTGTATTTTTCGCAAAAATGACAATTAGCAAAAATGACTTTTCGGAAAAGTGACAATTCGTAAAAATGGCGATTCGCAAAAGTGACAATTCGCATAAATGACATTTCTCAAAAATGAAATTTTGCAAAAATAACAATTCGCAAAAACGACAATTCGTAAAAATTACTTTTCGCAAAAATGGCTATTCGCCAAAATAACATTTCGTAAAAATGTCGATTCGCAAAAGTGACAATTCGTAAAAATGTCGATTCGCAAAAGTGACAATTCGTAAAAATGGCGATTCGCATAAATGACAATTCGCAAAAATTAATATTCGTAAAAATGACTTTTCGCTAAAATTACTATTCGCAAAAATGGCTTTTCGCAAAAATGACTATTCGTAAAAATGACATTTCGCAAAAATGGATTTCGCAAAAATG